AATTGGATGTGAGCAAAGCTTCGGCCCAGTAGAGATGAGGAAGATGAGCTTGATGAAGGAGTGTGCAAGTCGTTTCCAAGAGATGACGATGCTTTCGTTCCGTCGTGCCATTTTGCTCTGGAGTGTAGGGGCAACTAAATTGATGATGTATGCTATGTTCCATGAGGTATGATCGAAATGCGGTGCTGGTGAATTCGCCACCGGCGTCTGAGCGGAATTGTTTAATGTTTTTGTTGAATTGTGTAAGAATTAATTTGTGAAATTGTTTAAACTTAGAAAGAGTTTCAGCTTTGGTATGCATGAGGTATATCCAAGTAAAGCGAGTATGATCATCAATAAAAAGAACATAGAATCGATAGCCATTTGTAGACGATAGAGGTGCTGGACCCCAAACATCAGAATGTATTAGATTAAAGGGTTCAGTTACACGAGAGATAGAGGAAGAGAAAGGTAACTTATGGCTTTTCGCCATATTATATGACTCACAAACATAAGAAGAAACAAGACTACATATTGACGGAAAAAGACGAGCAAGTTGTTGTTGAGTGCGCGGGTTTGGGTGCCCAAGACGGGAATGCCATATTGTAGAGTTGGACGAAGAGGTGTGCAGAGCGACTGGAGGCCCGGATGAATTGGAAGAAACGGAGTAGAGACCGTTATGGTTGGGTCCACGGATGAGAGTTTGATTGTCCGTAAGATCCTTGATGACAAAGCCATGCGAATCAAATGAAATGGAGCAGTTATTATCAGAAGTAAGTTTATGAAAGGAGATTAAATTGTGGGAAAGCAGAGGAACATGGAGTAGATTGCGAAGAAGGAGCTTACGATTGGAGTCGGGGAGATGAAGTAAGCCTTGACCTGTGTGATGTATTGGAAGAGAGCTACCATTGCTGTAGAGATGGTTTCGGTGCCATTGTAAGGAGATGAAAGCTGCAGGTTGGTGAGATCAGGGGTGAGATGGGTTGATGCACCAGAGTCCAGCACCCACTCATTATTAGAGGTGGGATTCGAACTAGTCAGAAGCGCGGTCTGAGGAGCATTGGTGGTGATGCTGTAATTTGCGTTAAACTGATGCCAACAGGAGGAGGCAATATGGCCTGGTTTGCTACAGATCTGGCAGATTGGCCTGGTAGTGTCGCTGCGGGTGGTTGAGTTGTTTGGTCTGAAGGGAGCTCCACGACCGCGAGAGCCGCGATAGGAAGAGCGACCACGAGAGGAGCCTCCGCGGTTAGTGAAAAGAGCCGTAGAATCGGTCAGAGTGCTGGAATCACGATGAAGATCAGTCTGCATATGAATCTCTTCGCTGCACAATAGATTGTAGAGGACGTCAAGACTCAGAGGAAGCTGGCTGGTTCGCACGGAGGTCTTGAATGGATTGTAAGATGGCAGAAGGCCATTTAAGATATGGAGGATGATTTCCTCAGGATCTAACACAGATCCAGCTGCTGCAATGTTGTCAACAAGGGATTTGATTTTGGCTAGGTACTGCATCATATTTAGGTCCTTCATTTGAATGTGATACAGTTCGTTTTTGAGCTGAATCACGCGGGAACGGTTGGTGGGTTGAAGGCGCAGCTCGAGAGTAAGCCAAATGTCTCTGGCAGTGGAGAGAGTAAGAATGTATGGCAGGACTGCCGGAGAAATCGTAGAGAGAAGGGCAGAAACCAGATTTTGATCAATCAGGTTCCATAGACGAATCTCGTTGGTGTTGTTTGCAGCGGCAGAGATAGTAGGTTTGACGCTCTCGCCAGTAAGATGGCCTTCGTATCCGTTGGCAGAAAAGAGTTGGAAAATCTGCAAGCGCCAAATGGAGTAGTTGTCACTGGTGAGTTGGTTGGAGATGATGAGTTTGAGGTTGTTCATCAGGAACTTGAGAGAAGGGGGAATAGCAAGCTCGGTCATGGTTGAAGTTATCACAACAGTGGTTGGTTGAGAACTTTGATTACCCTCCAGTTATTTTTGAGTGCACATGGAATTTACTTGTTCGTATGAATTTCAACTACAAAACTCGGCAAAGTAATGATAACCATCAATAACAGCAGCAAGTAACTGCTACTTGTTGCCGCCATCGACGGGCGACTCCACCGACCATTGGCTTTCACCATTGCCATCAACCATGCACCTCAAATCAACTATTGTTTCAATTATACTATTATTTTATTTTGCACTCCCTTTCTTCAAAATAAAAAATAAATAAATAAATTCATGCATTTGTAGCATACTATTTACTTCCACAATGAATTGATTTACTTATTATTCAATAGTGAACATGAAATTACCTCACATTATAGTACATATGAAGGTTGCTGCTTATATAACTATTGAATTTTCTTGGTTTATCAATAAGTTTGCTTAGAGAGAATGCATATGTCGTGCCTCCTAAGTATGGAAGGCTTCCTATATGTATTGGTGCACTTGTCAGCTAACTTAAAATAGGAATTTATGATTGAATTTCCTCAAGCAGGTAATAGACATAATGAAAAGTGAACCTGCTGTTTTGTTTGCAGTTAATGTTTTCGTTTTACAAACTAGTACTGGCTTATTTACACTTTGACAAGGGTGCGCTAGCTACAGACTATTGAATATGCTTTGCCTCATCTCTCCCTACCGGTTGTTTGCGAAGACCACTGGAGAAAGAGTTTGCTGTCCCTCATTAGGGAAGTTTTTTTAAGAGACATTTAAGCCAATTAAAACAAAGTCATGTACATAAAGCTCCCAAACGATTAAATTAAATTGTGTGTCGGTAAGCTGGGTACATCAACTTAGAAAGCTGTTTTAGAAATTTTTGTACTAGAAAATCGTTTTAGAAATCATCAAAGAAGTTGTCCAAAACTAGAATAATTATTTTGTGCGGAGACAACCAGAATGCCTCACATCACCTTTTGCTCGGTACCGAGACTCATACTGTTGATGTGGCATTTTCTGATTGGCCTCCGAACAAAGTCCTATGTCTGATCTCCACACAGAATAATTTCTTTCCAAACTAATTAAGCCTTATACTTTTGAGTCAAATGCAGAGCTCTGCATTGGGTACCCATACCCACACCCATCCATGTACCCACCCATACCCAATGGGTATGTGTACGCCCATGATCTTATGGGTGCGTATGGTCGGTACTAAGCATCGATGAATAAATTGATTTATATTTATAATCACTGTATATCTTACTTATACTACTGCAATCATCACTACGTATTGTGCAGCACTTAACCACGATACGAGTACGATAAATTTTGATATGCGACTTAAAAGTTTGCCATCATAGCAAATGATAACAAGCCTCAAGGCCATCAGTTTGTGGCAGACTGCGTTCAAAAAACATGAAAAGTGGGTGGGTATAAATGGGTACAAAATCCTGGAAGTCACCATGGGTGAGTATGGGTGGGCGAAGCCCGTTCGAGTAAAACATGGGTACCCAATGAGTACCCAACCAGGAACTCAGGTAGGACTTCGGTCAAATGAGATATCTCGATCACGATGATGGGATAGCTGTTTATGTCTGCATTTATGTATATATATAGTGGGACCAGCTTTAGGATTGAGCATTAAATTGACATAAATAATTGTTGTACATGTGACATTTGACTTAATTATAATTACGTGGTAGGCCAACTTTACAGACGAGAGCATTAAAATGAACATTGAAGACAAGTTTTGGAATGCATGAGAAAATGGCAGCGGACACCACATTCAATTCAATGTGCTTTCCACAGAGCCTCACAAGAAAGTATGCCTTAAAAGACGTGCTGCTTCTCTAATAAGTAATAAATGCATCATCCACAGACCCCAACTAGCTTCAATAGTTCTTGACTCGTGCTGACCTTTAAGGGTAATAAATATGATATTTATTGTTCCACAAGCTCGTCTGGTACTATTATTTTGACTTTCAACCCTCATTTTATTTATATTTTTTAACCTTTCATTGCATATATGCAATTTAAAATTTGTCAGTGCCGTTCGAATTGATCCCACGATATAATAGTTTTTCAAAACTATTCAAATTTCAGATAAACGAATTATCAATCAACAAAATACTATGTAAATTTATTATATATACAATTTAACAGAGATATCTGAAAGATGATTGAGCAGAATATTTAAATCCATTTTTGCTCATTATAACTATTATAAAAAGCTAAAAGATAGGTACCTATGAATTGGTTTTATGATATTTAACAATAACAAAATATATTATTTAATTAAAAATAAGTAATACATAATCAAAAGCAATATTGCTTATAAGTTAGTAAAAGATGGATATGAAGATCATTGATTATCACTTTTTATACTGATTTTGTTCTAATTACAAACAAAAATAATATATATTAAATTTAGGGTTTATATATATTATTTGCTTCTATAATTAAATTTCTTTTTAAAAGTATTACCATCATATATATATTTTTAATAATATATGTGCTTCTCTTCATGCAGTATGGATGATATATAAATATTTGTACACTTACAATAGCAACAGGTAAGATTAATAGTAATTACATTTCAATCACAAATCAGCTTTCTCTAAAACAGCTTTCTAGTTCAAAAAAAAAAAGTTTTGAGAAGAAGTAAGAAAACAGTCCCAAATGAAACCTACAAATCATGATTTGACACAAAACATAAATTTTAAACACTACACAATACATTACCATTACTAGAAGCAAAAATAAACAAAAGCAGACTTACAAATCCAAGAAACCACTAACTCACCATACAACAAGAAGATAGTACCAACTCTTACACTATAGAAACAATAACTACTAAAACAAAGCAAAACCTTGCCACATAAAATCAAAATCCTAACACAGAATAAAGCTAATATACTTGATTTTTTTCCCCCTAAAATATAACCTAAATGATATGGCGCGCATATATAATGAAACACGATATTCCATATCAATTAGACTACATTAAAGAAGAAAAAAGCAGCAAATTAAATTAGCATTATTCTTAACACACGTAAGCATGCATGGATGGCCATGCAAAAGGCCATTAGGCTAGCTTAGGGAAGTAGGCCTCCAGCCCCGCCTCCGCCACCACCGCCGAGCCCACCGACACCGCCGCCAACACCGCCAAGCCCACCAACCCCGCCGAGCCCGCCACCGGGCCCAGTCCCGGTGACACCGCCGACTCCACCGAAGGTACCGGCAGTACCGCCGAGAATAGGGAAACCGCCAAGGGAGACTCCTCCGACGCCGGCGTAGCCCCCAACGCCTCCAAACACTATGTTCTTCTCATCAGTGACTTGCTTGTGACCGTTCTTTTGGTTAGTAGATACTTCTACTTGACTTGGGATGTTTCTTGCTTGAGTTATTGAAAGAAGAAGAGCTACGGAAAGCAAGAAGAATATGCAGTACCTTCCCATCTCGTTCTCTCTCGCTCTCTCTTTCTCCGAAAGATAGCAGGTTGCTTGCTCATTTGGAATGGAGGATGTCTCCTGTTATAAAGGAATGGAAAAGGAGGGAAGAAGATAGGCGAGAAGCTATAGGAGTTAATGCACTCAACAAAACACTAGCTAAAGAATAAATATTTAAACCTAAGGCGTGTCAATTAATTTCTTAAAGATATTTCAACAAAAAATTACTATTAGATTTATGCTTCTTTTGTGATGCATAATTCTTTGAGAAATTTCTTATAAAAAGGTCCTTTTATTGCTTCTAAATAAAAAAATATGATTTTATTTTGAGTACGAAAATTAAAATAAAATAATTACTTTTGAGATAAGTTTTAAAAAATAGTAAATTTAGAATTTATATTTGATGCGGACTAGAATATACGCGGCGGTAGAGTAAAAATATAGCGTCTTAACAATATACGTATATCCAGCATTCGTTTTCATTTCATCTTTTAATTTGTTCAAAATCAAACGCTTATTGAAGTTGCTGAGGCATATATAGCCATATGTGGCTTATTATTAATGTAGCAACTTTTTATAAACATTTCTATAAGCAAATCTTTCAAGGAATTTTGTCCCCTGCTAAAGATTTCGACTGTCACTTAAGTATGCTTGCAAATTTATTTCAGATAACTTTCTTATTATTTTTAAAAGAATTTCTTAGTAAAATAACAAGAAACTCATTTCAAACAAAATATAAGATATTATTTGAGATAATTTTCTTAATATTTTTTTAAATAATTTTTTAATATAAATTTTTTTTGAATTATAACTTTTTATACTAAAAAACTGTTTTAAAAAATATTGAGGAAGCTATCCCAAATTTAGTTTAAGATTTCACCTGGGATAACTTTCTTACTGCTTTCTAGTTCAAAATTTTTTTTTAAAAAAATTATCTTAAGAATTACTTTGGAAGCAATAAAAAAATTTATCTCAAACAAAGCTTAATACTCAAAAATGCCCAAGAGAAATTATTTTGTGCAAAATCCAAACGAAAAAATCATCCAAATTTGCTACATATTTACTGAATATTTGTTGTGTATTTGCAAATACTCAATTGTGAGTGTTAATAAATATTTTATGAATATATGCTTAATATTTTGTGAATATTTATTGAATATTTTGTGATTTACTAGATATTTAATGAATATTTTCAAATACTTGGTAAATACACAACAATCCGGATAGGAAGATACGGTTTACTGAATATTTTCAAATACTTAGTAAATACACAATAATCCAAACGATCTTTCCATCAGGACTCCACATAATATAAAACACAAATCTTGCAGCATACTAGGCAATGCACATGAAAAAATTTCTTCACTAAAATTTCATTAAACTCCTACTTTTAAGATCATAAAGTTATTAATCCAACTCAGATATTAATACAAGTTACAGAACTATTAAATTTTGTTTGAGATAGCTTTTCATCATTATTTTTTTACTATTTTTAATAAATTTATTCACTACAAAACTGTATTATAAAACAATAACAAAAAATATCCCAAAGAAAACCTTAATTAAGACATTAGGATTCCAGCCCTTAATTCTATAATTGAAATGGAGTATTTTAACAGGCCATCTGATGAAAAGGCCACAAAAATATATCCAAGTTCTTTCCATATTACAATGGTGATTATGTTGATGATACAAATAACTGCTAGAGCAGTGCTGAAGGCTTAATTTGAGAGGATCATTAAAGAAGATCATTTGAAAAATTTCCTTGCAGAAAGCCATCAATACAAGTAAACACCTGAAGAAACTTCTCATTGTAATCAAAATGTGCTGAACATAATAGCTAGATTTGATGTAATTAATCACTAGAGGCCTAAACTAAGGAGTTCGAAAAAAAACTAATGCTACCAGGATAGATAAATTGAAATGTTTGGAGTTAAAGTATACAGTAATGTTAGTAATTTAAAATAGATAAATTGAAGAACAAAATTCAAGTATTGCCTACTTGCAGGTAAATCTGACTTCTGAGTGAGTTCTTGCTGGGTTTCCCAAACCATTAATCAACCTAAGCTGCAAAACAGAGTTGAAGGTTGGTTATAATTATGTTATCAACACATACAAGATAAACAAAGCATAGCATTCATTTCCTTCATAGAATGTTGCATGGGCTAATGTTAATAATGCATAAAAGAAACCTCTGCAGCTTATTTTTGTGTGTCCCGCGGATCTAAGTTTGTAAACACCATAAAGAAATAAATATCAAAGTATGCTTGCGTATTATAATAGCTAACCTATTCTTGATAAACTTAATTATATAATTTTAGGGTTTAGTTCGATGAACAAAGCAAAAGACCTTTAGGTTGACAAATATATAGATTGATGACACTTGCAAAAGAACTAAATTAAATTTGGTTTTTTCAGTACCAGCTTGTCCAAATCTTATTAAGGTTGAATGGGGTAATTCATCGGTATTATTGATTATCAGAATGCTAGTTACTTTCATAAGCAAAGATGAAGAGTTTAGTAGAAGAGTTCGTAGATTGAAAAGCCTTGCGAGATGGAAGAATTAAATTTGGCTATTATTATGTGGTTCATCCAGATCATATTAGGGATAATTGTTTTTTAAGTTATTAAATGATGGTAAAGTGAGAAAGTTGTGCTTAAGAGTTAGGATGAAGGGTACTTGAAAGAAGCCAACTAGAATTAAAATGCCTTAATCTAACCAACCCTAAGTTCTCCTTGATGCAGTTCTCACTGTCATATTTCCCTTCTTTGCCTTTGATATTTACTCCTTATCTTCTTGTTCTCTAGGCATCCTCTTTCTCTTCTAATGGTAATTTTCCCTTGATCTCCTTTGAATCTCAAGAAGAGAGAAAATTAGAGAAAGCTATCGTGAAGATTTACGGTGTTGAGGAAAAGGGAGAGAGAGGGAACTATGGAGTGGAGAAAGAGAATGTGGGCCAACTGATCATGAAATTTAGTCACTCATTGATGAAAGTAAAGTGTATATATATTATATATATATATATATATATGGACAAAAAATGTCTACCAGGGTGTACGGAGAAATTATGTAACCAACATGTGGCTAACCTGATAGCGGAATGCCGGAATTAGAGAATGTTAAAAATGCAGACATGAATATTCATATACTAGATGAGCTCAGAAGATTGAGAGAGCAGATTGACGGAAATTAACCTACGCCTACATCAACCGAGCATGATAGCGAGGACACAGATTCCACCTAGAGTGTCTGTAAAAATATTTTTTATTTAGTTTACTTCTTTTGATGTATAACTATTGAAAATTTAACAGTGTATTGTAGATTTTTATGGAATGTCCAATGTTTATTTGACCTATTGGAATATTATAGTTAGATTTTTATTGTTTTCTATCGCCGCATTTGATTATGGCTAAATTTGTAGAATTTTAAATTGTTTGGATTTGTACTGTTGGAAAGCGGACTAACATATAGCAATCGTTTTTTTTTTCCCGTTATGCTATAAGTTTCAGGCGGATTTGCGGCGGAATTTCCTACGCAAACATTGATACGACGAATAAGTATCGTTGTTTGCAACGGAAATAAATGTCACAAATAGCGGCGAATTTGCAATAGTGGTTTAGTCACAATGTAGAACTGATATTCCGCCACGATTTGCGGCGGAATTTTCGTTCCGTCGCAAATACTTTTGTGACGGATCTATTCCGTCACAAATACTTTTGCAACATAGGTTTTAATGACGGAATTGATTCCGTTGCAAATCCGCATCAAACAAGGATTTCTAATGGATTTCCTTTGTTTTGCGGCGGAAAGAGATAATTTCCTTTAGTGATCCTCATGAAAGAAACATAATATAGAAGCAATTAAACAAAATCTCAGGTTTCGCCTTGTTCTGACAAATGTCTTTTATTTTTCTTCCATCTATAATAGTTACTGGTTAAACTAAAAAGGGCACTAAAGGAGGCCTATTCCATCAAAGAAAATTAATGATAAAAGAAGGCTCAAAAGCCTGCATTTGAGGATCTTACTGTTAACAAGATCACCTAGCATGTAGAAGTAGGACATTTCTAGGATATTTCAAAGTAAGATACAAAACCCTAAAACCTTTGCAATTATTATTTAGCTTCTATCATATATATAGTGACATATCCATCAACAATAGCCACAAATATACTAATCAGTTGAATAGGTAATAATAAAAAATAAAAAATATAATTTAAGAATAAATAATCCAACATGGTACACAATAAATTTGTTATGAGATCTTCTGACTATTGAAATTAAGAGAAAACAAGGAGTAAGCCATTAACCTTGTCCAGCAGCCTTGAAGTTGTCAGAGGAGGAGGGCATGCAACATTAAACTTTGCACATGCGTCAACAAGGTACTTATTTGCAGCCTCACTAGAAAGATCTTTGGGTATATCCAAGTTTGCCATTCTTTCCAGTTCTTCAATCATGTCAATCCGTCTGTAAAATAAAAATAATGGATAACGAACTTAGTTAAACAGAAATACCAGTGATAACGTTGCCTTTCCTGGTTAAAGTTATGCACATTAAGATAATAATGCATCAGAACAATCATACCTGAAGGGCGGAGTAAAATCAATCTCAATCGGCTCCTTATCCACTCCATCAGCATGAAATTTTATTTTATATCCACCGGTCAATTCTTTCACCATTCCTACTCAAGAATAAAAAAATCTTTTTAAAAATTGTTAAAACAAAATAACTCAGGAAAGAATTTTTGAGACCATAAATATTGAAAACACTTTTTATCTTCTTAATATTATTCTTTTTAATATTAAAATTTAAACTTGAAGCCTACTCAAATATTCATCAACAAGCATTAAATAGATTCCTTCAACAGATTAATTCAAAATAAGTTCAAAAATTAGTTAATAAAGAGAAATGGGCCAAAATGGTCATTCGACTATATAAGAAATGCCAAAATGCTCCCAAACTACGTAAAAGTTCCAATTTTGTTCTAAGGCATTTTAAATAGGGATCAAAATGGCCTTAACATTCAAAATTGGATGTTAAAATGAACAGAATCTCTAAAAATAATTGAGAACTTACATAAAAAGCATGTTTCAAGGGATATTTTTAGAATATAATTTATTTTAACCTAAAGCCTGGATATGGAGACAATGGAGACAATAGGAAAGACAAAGCAGGTAGCAAATCTATTCTTCCGCCTTTAGAAAGGCAAGCTCGAGCAGGCGCTGAGATGAGCGGGAGAAGATGCAAGTAGGCAACGGTAGAGTAGCCAATTAGTATTTTCACATTGCCGAAGCTACTCTTAGAGACATGACTCCAACCAAGTGACGAGACGAACATGAGAAGACATGAGTAAGATCGAACAAGCAGGATTTGTTTAAGCGGGAAGACAAACAACTTTATTGTCGAAGGGGATCAAGAATTAGCAAAAAATATTACTTCTGTAATAACAAAAACATCTTCGTTTGATTGTTTGATAATATATTTCTAATTGATTGGAATGTATTTTCATTTTGTTTAATGAACTATTGTTAAGATATATTTACTTCCCAACTAGCGGCCTATGCTTTCAAAAGCTACGTAGGTCCCTTCTTGTTATATGTCACCATGTTGAATTTCATGTGCATTCGGTTGCCAACACAAGAAAAGCAGTTGGGCAAAGCCAATTATTTTGCTTCATGACACTTTTAATCAATATGAAAAGAGCAGTCCAATTTGAGATGCATTGGGCGTTTTATTTGGATTTGTTAAGGCGACTCAAAATTTATTTTGATCAAATTTATGATGTTAATTTTGTTAAGGCATTCAAAGTTTATGTTTTACAACCATAATATTAACGTGTTTGAATTTATTTTCAAACAAAAAAATTGTAAAGATACAATTCCGAATGTATGCCATTTATAAAATATATACTTTATTATCACTAAAATAAATAACTTTATGCAAAGCAAAAAAAAAAATTGATCTTTCAACGAAATGATTTTAATCGAAGTTAGTTGTAAACAATTTAAGATTAAACAACTGAATGCATAGAGAAATAATTTCTAAAAACATAATATAAAATTTTAAAACTTTAATATATATATATATATATATATATATATATATATATATATACTTTTGATTACATTGGATACAAAATAATAGAAATGTCAAACAAATTTATTAAAAAAAAATTGCTAGCACAAGGCACGATCTCAATCCACTCCCACTACTAAACGAACTTAATTGTTCTACACAAAGAAATATGATTAGCAGAAAATTAGTTTTACTAAAAAAAGTAAAAAAGAAAAGAATCTTCTAGAAATATCCCTACTTTTAACAACACTAACTTCAAGTTATATTATTTTGGATTGTTTAATATATTTTATCATTATTTAATCTTCTTATTTCATAGTCAATGCTTGGTTTTAAGCAAAGATGATTTTTTCATGAATATGGAATTCATTTGTATTAAAGTCATAAATGTGGCCAAAATAAAGGTGTCAAAATGGGTTTTTCGATCGAGTTTGGATCCAACCTGAAACTAACCCGACCCAATCACACAAACAGGCCCAAAATCTAAACCCAAACCCAACCCACCAAAAAAATGGGTCGTCCCGAGCCAAAACGCTAACTCGGTCGAGTGCAAGTGAGCATTCATCGAGCGTAGGCGCGAGCGTGACTGTGCGAGGTTGAGAGCGGGATGTGATGAGCGGGGTCGAGCTCAAGACTCGATGTGCGACGCGGTGCACATGCAAGATATGCAGGCTCAGCGCAAGCGTAGTAACGTGTGAGACTTGCGGGTGAGATGTAGTGGCGGATAATCTCCAAGTCATATTTCCAGATTAGAGAGTTGACCCAATTTTTCAAATGGGTCAGAAATTGAAACATGAACTTGACCCATTTGTTAAATGGGTCAACCCAAAGCTGAATTTTTCGAGTCGGGTTCGAGTCGGGTTTTTTGGGTCATGTCACACTCCTAGCCAAAAGGTCTCAATTAAAAAAAATGGTTCATTCATTCCCTTTGGTGATTATTGTATTCCTACATTTGACATTTGGCGTTTTTTATATCTAATGCATGCTTCCTTACAAAAATAGGTAGGAGAAAACTCTTTAAGGGAGATGGTATTCTTTCTATGCGTACAAGTTGTTATCAATTATTGAACCCTATGATGGGACATCTCCAAAACAAATATAGGATTTTCTATCAGCTTTTGCAGGATTTTTTTTTTCTCTAGCAACTTCAATTATTATTACTAAGCTTATACTTTGACTCCAATTATAAGATCAGCCTACAACAAACATTCAAACTAATTATTGTTGTCCTAATTGATTTCATGTACCTTTTAAAATATAAAGTTTTATTTTATAAGAAATAAAAATATATTAAAAAATCTTATAATATTGATTATTTTAGCATTCTAAATATATTATTGATTTTTCAAATCCTATTAACATGCACTTGTTGCACATGCAATTAAACATCTACCCATGAATTTTATTAATAAAATGGTGGCATAAAACTATTTCCATTTGTCATATCACAAGGACAAATACAAATTTAAACCCACTAAAGGGAAAAATAAATTCTTCATGTAGCAGACACCAAGTCTCAAATTTGAGACCTAGATCTAGACTTATGCCTCGAAAAACTAAGTACAGTGCTTCATCCATGGCGCACACACAAATGAGGGCATTCACGTGTGTGTGATTTACCAAACTAGAGCGTGCAATCTATCAAATAAAAGTTCTTGTCCAAAAGCATATTTTCTAAATGTTTTATGGGTGCATGCCCACAACAAACTAACTATTATAAATTCGAGATGGAGGGCATAAAAAAGTTAAGAATAAGAGGTATGTATATTTGCCAAAAAAAATGAAAGTGCATTTTCACTTACCAGATAACATCTGCTCTGTCAAGACCATCAAATCATTGTAATCTGCATAAGCCATATAAAATTCACAAGTCGTAAATTCTGGATTATGAGTCAAGTCAATTCCCTCATTCCTGAATTGCTTTCCAATCTCATAGACACGATCAAGCCCACCAACAATAAGTTCCTTGAGGTATAATTCAGGGGCAATTCTCATGTACAATTTCATGTTCAACTCATTGTGATGAGTGACAAAAGGCTTAGCAGCTGCACCACCAGCAATCATGTTCATCATGGGTGTCTCTACCTAATTTTAAGAAATATTTATTAAAAGAAGAGCAAGGGTAGCTAAGAAAAATAATTAAAGAAAATTTTGCAGATAAAACCTCCAAAAAGTCCAAGTTGTCGAGGAATCTCCGAATGTATGAAATGATCCAGGCTCTTGTCTTGAATATTTCTCTAACCTCATGGTTCAACATCAAATCTAGATAACGTTGACGATAACGAGTTTCCTACCACCAAATTAAGAATAGATAACAAAAAATAACCATGGAAAATAAAACATAATTTCAAGAAATATATAGGGAATGCTTCCTAGTGACTTCAAAGTAGGAACAAAGAATTTTAGGACCTCTTATGATAAAACCATACTAGTATTTAAAAATTGACATGCAATTCTATCAATCTATAATATTAGCCGTTGAATTTTTAAAAATAATCTCAAGCGCTCATTGGCTTTCACTAATATTAAATCCTTATTTTTGAATTCTAAGTATAGTATAGAATTCTAAGAGTTAAAATTCAAAGAAAAAAATTACTTTTATGAATGTCTTAAATGTAGTTTATGCATATATGAAGTAATGTAAACCATGAGAACGCTAAAGAAGAAATAATGATTTTGAATAATGACCCACAATTAATTTTGTCATATCTACGCTTTAGAGTTGTATCACATCTAAAAACCTCCATGGAGCTTATCTCTACACGTAAGATTATTTTCGAATAATAAGCCAAGATACTTGAGCAAAAAAAATCACACAAATATCTTTCCTTTTTTTTCATTATATTCTTCCTAGTTTTTAGTCATTCTATTTAGTTTAATACATTTTACTTGTATTTTTTTATTTTTGAATTATTTTAGATATTTTTTAAAAATGAATATAAAAATGTTTACAAAATGTAAATGATAAACAATAATTTTAAAACTTATGAACATAAACTATACTTTGCTGCATTTATTCTAAATAATTATGTCATATAATTATAATTTTAGAGAAAAATAAATGCTGTCATTTATTTAATTCAAAGTTTATATTTTTATTGATTTATCATTTAATGCCATAAACGTTTTTGTTGTTCATTATTTTAATGAACATTTTTATTTTCAAATTTTGACGTAAATGAAAATCAATCAATGATTGTTTTAATTATATCAATTAATTAATCAGCATTAGTCAAAATTTTAATTATTTGTCATTTTATTACCTTCTATTTTAAACAACTAAAAGAAAGATGATCAATGTCAATGCACATATATTTTTTATCAGTTTCTATTTCATGCTATTTGAATTTTTCCTCCACGACAATTTAAGTTGTAGTCAATACTTATTTTCATTTATTATTATTTGTAAATTTTTTTCAAAACAATATTGAAATGATTCATAAATTTATAAATATATTAAAAGTCAATTATGAATCATGATTTAAAATAAAATAAATATTAGTTTTAAAAATATTCATGACAGATGTGAGATAACACATCAATAAAATCAAGCCTTTCTCCCACTACGTGGGGTCGGCTACATAAATCCTTTTTCTTCATTGTGTCATGTTAAAAGTCAAATTCTAATTCAAATCTAATAAAAAAAAGATCACTGTGCAGAATGTTGGCCACTAAAAGAGAAGCATACTATTATGTGTTGGCAGTGTTGCAATGATGAGGATGCTCAGGTGGATGAGTGGATTTACTCTTAGAGATAGGATACGAAATGAGCATACACATAAAAAGGATGGAGTAGTTCCAATGGAAGATAAGATTAAAGAGAGTTGCCTTAGATGGTTGGTCATACAAAACAACGGCCTTCTAATGACCCGATTAGAAAAGTAGATGTATTAGATTTGGTTTATGTTAAGAAAGACAGAGACCTAAAAAGACTTGGTTAGAAAATATTAGAAATGACATTTCTTTATTATATTTAAATAAGAATTTAACTCTTAATAGTAGAAGGGAGAAAAATGATTTATGTAGCTAACCCCACCTTGATGTTCTTGTAGTTGTTGTTTGTAAAAAAAGTTCATTTCTAATATTTTTTCCAACCAAGTCTTTTTTGATCTACCTCTACCTTAACAAAAATCAAATCTAATACATATACTTTCCTAACCAGGTTATCAGAAGGCCAACCCTCAATGTTAGATAATACTTAATGATATAAAGAAAGATCAACAATGTAATGATGTTAAAAAAATACTCCAAATGAGATATAAATTCACCGCAATTTATAACATACAATCAAACCTTAATAGCCTAATAGGTATATAATATGACTATCTTCAGTTAAAACATATACAAAAAAAACTATCTTTAATTATCATAGCATTACTTATTTTAAGTTATGTTCATCATTTTAATGTTCTAAATTTTTATCATGTAGGTTTTCCATTAATGATTTTGAAAGTTGGAGACCTTCAAAAAGACTAAAAACAAAGCAAAAAAAAAAAAGGAACAAGACCTCTCAATTTTTGCAAAAAGGCATGCATTAAAAATAAATAAAAAATAATGCTACATATATTTCTTTCAAATATATTTGAACATATCAGATGTGGGGTGTCGCCATTTCAATCCTCTAAAATATTAGAGAAAGGCATGCAATAAAAATAAATAAATAATAATGCTCTATATATATATTTTTCAATGTATTTGAACATATCAAAAGTGGGATGTCCCATCTTACTTTATGGAAAACAAATTAATTGAAAAAGATCATTTCACATTCTATCTCTAAGAGTAAAGCCACTCATCCACTTGAGCATCCTCATCTCTGAAAGCTTAATTGTATGCTTCTCTTTTAATGACCAACATTATGCACCATAAAGTATTGCAAGTCTCACCACCATCTTGCAAATTTTTTTCCTTAAATTTGAGGGGGTCTATTCTATCACACAACAGGCCTGATGCATTCCTCCACTTCAACCATCCAACTTGAATTCTACTAATAATATCCCCATCTATTTCACCATCAATCTGTACAATAGAACTCATATATATAAAATGTGTATTCTTATTATTGACTTATCGCCCAGAGTCACAATCCCCTTAGTAGATCTATTCCTTTCATGTTATTTATTAGCATAAGAGAAGAAATGAAAGTCTCTCAATCTTATTTTTTAATTTGTAAACAAACACACCAAGATTTATGTAGTCTACCATTCCACGTGTTCATGCTCAAAATCAGATTGACAAATTCACTTGAAAAAGAGCATGCATGATTGAACTAGACATGAAGCATGCCAAGGAAAGCTGGCTATGCTTTGGCTCAGGATCAAAGAAAAATGAAAACCAAGGCGTCGTGCATACAAATCATTAAATATTCTCAAAGTGCAAAAAAAAAAAAAAAAAAAAAAAAAAAAAAAAAAAAAAAAAAAAAAAAAAAAAAAAAAACAAACAAACAAACAAAACAAAACAAATGCAAACTTCTGAAGGTTCAAACTGCCAGCAGAAATCATATTTTATGGTTTATTTATAAAAACGGAAAAGAAACACACCATCAACTGATACAGCAAGTCATCTGAATGGCAAAGAAGCCAACGGAATACTTTCATGCTTCATAGGGCAAGACCCTCCAAAGAAAAAAAAGGAAATTAGAAGACTTCGTAATTAATTCAAGTGTAACGCCAACAGACGTGAAGATTAATAGACTCAGGAAAAGCCGTTCACTCCATTAAAAAAAAAAACCACCCACCCACAACACACAAACATGAACATGCAAGCATGACGGTAGATTAACGCAAGCATGACGCTATTCAGAGATTAGCAGATGTAGAAAGAGTGATGAAGCCCTCTCATACATGAAAATGAACAGGCACGCATTCATGCACATTCACAAAGATGTTCCGAAAAGAATATATATATATATATAGAGAGAGAGAGAGAGAGAGAGAGGGAATTGGTAAGCTTCTTCAGTAAATTATTGCATAAAACAAGTTCAGTATATTGTATTAAAAACAGTATATTGATTTATTTGTCTAAATTAAAAAGTGAGCTCATCAGAAAAGTTTATCACAGGTTTATCATTTATTACTTGATGCCCAAGATTTGAAGCCGAGGAAATTGTCTGATCATTGCTATAAAATACAAACAATACAAGAACAATCTCATGATCTGCAAACGCATATATGATATGAAGATATACTTAAAAATAACACAAAGACTATATACCTGGTCCTTGAGAACATATGTTTCAGGATTCCTGGGCAATCCTGGAACCCATTTAGATCCCAATATTCCTTCATGTTTCTACAACAATTGAAGGAAATCATTTGCTAAAAAATCAATCACAGTAAAACTAGCATTTCTTATATCCAACAAAGTGTTGCAATATAAAGCAGCTCTACCTTACTAGAAGGATTATCAACACCAGGAGCAGCTTTTTGCCGTGGCATCATATGAAGACAATGAGAAAGGACAACAAATGTTTTAGGAAATACACTAAGCTCCCCTCTTTTACTCTTCCCTGTACAATAAAACAATACGTTTCCACATAATATCAGCGTTTATTATCAAGCATATAGTTTAGTTTTTCAAACAGTAACAAAGCATTAATGAGCTAACAATTAGTGGGGAACATGTGTCCCGGTTAGGTAATAAAATTCAAAAAATTAAACATACATTTGGGTAAGTTTTCACTGGGTTTACAAGAAATTTTAAGCTAAGCTCAAATATATGTAGTCTAATATGAACAAAAATCATTTCCAAGAGAACAAATCTCATCTGAGACATCTATGATTTTACCATGGATATTCTTCAAAAATGACAGAAGAGTGAATTTTTCAACGACATGATTAGCTTTCTGTTAGACCGGTCCACTGGACCGGTCCAGCCGGTCCAGGCGGGACCGGTTCACGGGCCAAAATCGCAAAATTAGGCGGAGATCTCCGCCTCCTGCGGAGATCGAGCGGCCCGACCAGCCCTTTAGAACATTTTAGGAAGCGTTTTTTACCCTTCTTCAATATAAGTAATAATTTATCAGGATTATGGAGGGCATTCAGTGTTTTCTTTGAATAAGTGACGACTGGGATTTAACCATCATCATCAAAGGGCTACCAAATTACTGATTGAAAACCAAAAGGAAGACATTTCCCTCTCGTTTGTACTCTTACTATATTTTGGCCTTTACAGAGTAGGCTAAATCTAATGCGCAACAACTCGCACAGCATTGTGCATATGCTAAATAAACTGCATGAAAATGTAAAGCTGTATGTTTTTCCTCAGAGTCAAATAAACTGACGCATAATGTTTAAATGCTAAATGTCGGATAAATTGCTATATTGTGGACCTTAATAAATTTCTTAGATTTTAAAAATAATAATAACAAATATCAAGCTATTACAATGTTTAAAAGACATGCATACTTCAACTTATTTAGAATGATTAAAACGTAATCACTATGGATTATATTTCTACCATATAACAGAAGCAATAAGCAGAAGAAATGACAAACAAAACTGTCCACAAAAAATCTAAATGTTTTAAGAGCCCATTCCATGCAAAATCATAATCAAAGTTTCAAAAGAATGTGATATAAAATTACTCATGAATATCCCATGAAGCTTTCACAAATAAGTACTGACGTCCAATACCTAGCAAAAACTACCGAGTGATTCCATATACAGGCCATAATTGGAATGGCACACAGAAACTGTATGCCAAGTGGTTTTCCACCACATGAAATTTAGATAAGGAATAAACAGAAGGAAAAAAAAACAATTACGTAATGAGATAGAAAACCAATCATTGCCACTAAAACAAACAACTGACAACAGGAAAAGAAAAAGTTTATGATGATGGTGGATGATCTCAAACAACAGAAAATCATTCATATAGGGTATATGTAAAATCCAAAACCCAAGTTCGCCTCCCTCTATGCAAACTCAATTAAAACCACCACAATATCCTAGTCATCCCATCGACCATCAACATTTTATAGCCACTTCCCTCAGAAGTTAATGCTAGGCTTTCCCACGTCCACTTGCATGCCTAGGCCAATCATCTAAAACAACCTAGTAGAGATTTTCAAAGCATATTACATTTACCAAACTATTATGCAAAATGTTTCCTTCCCACAATGCATATACAGCAAGGCCTACATTCTAATTATGTCTCTTTGTAAATAAGAATTAACTACATCATTTCCACTTTTGAATTCAGCAATGATAGGTTCTTGTCAGATTGTTGGAGTTGACTGGATGACTACAAAATGAATTCAAATTACTATAAAGCATACTATATTTACTAACCTATTATGCATAATGTTTCTTTCCAGAACTGATGCACAACAAAGCTTACATTCTAATTCTCTCCTGAAAGTAAGAATTAAGTATTATTTTGATTTTTCAAATAAGCAATGATAGGCCTTTTCAGACTGTTAAGAGTTGACGGGATAACAATTAAATGAAATTCAATAACTATAAAAGAAGCTAAAGAATTTTGGCAACAGTTATACTGTAATAATGCTCCATACTTACCATCAGCACTCATTAAACAAGCAAATGCTTGTATGAAAATGCAAAGGAAAGTTAGAACTCAATGCTTGACAATCATTTTCAGTTCAGTAAAAAAGAGAAGATTTCTGTGAGGGCACTCTCACAATTCAAAAGAAAAAAAAAAAGAAATGTAATAAAATAACAATGATTTTCATATTAGCACCACTTATTATTGATTTCTCATGCTTAATTGCTTACAGATAATATTTCATGTAAAAGTGAAAGACACGGTACAGTGATCCAAATTAAGAACAAAAAAGAAGTAATAATAATAAAACATGATTTAAACACTAACAAAATTAGCATCTTCAGGGGAATAACCTATCATCAACATCATCATCAACCTTATCCCAAATATTCAAGCCTGCTTTATGAATCCACATTTTCCATATGGCACTGTAGTACAAAAGTGAAATATAGTACAATGATCCAAATTAAGAACAAAACAGAATAATAATAAAATATTATCTAAAATACTAAAAACTTATATTTGACTTATGTGGGATCACATAAAACGCAGGCCTTCCGATGACCCAATTAAGAAAGTTGATGTTTTAGATTTAACTTATGTTAAATAAGATATAGGTAAACCTAAAAAGGCCTTTCTTTATTAGATTTAGATGAGAATTTGACTCTTAATATGACTCAATGGAGAAAAAGGATTCATGTAGCCGACCCCACATAGTGAGATAAAGGTTTGTTGTTGTTGTACTAAAAATTTAGCATCTTCAGGAAAATAACCTACCATCAACATCATCATTAGCCTTGTTACATCTTGGAACATTCGAGGTGGTGGAGAGATAAAAGCAATGTTTAAAATTGCGTATTCGGGTATTGAGGCGTTTTTCATTCGTGAGGCGAGGCGTAAGCCTCAAGGCATTTTGAGGCGTAAGCCTCAAAATCAAAAGATTGCGTAAACATAAAATGATAAATTTTTTTTATATACTAATGAGTGAATAATATAAAACATAAAAAATATATAAGATATGAAGTGAAATCAAAATATCCAATAATAAGACAACATGAAATATAGTTCAACTCAAAATTCTATCTTTCCCAAATCCCAGTATTCTTTTCATTAACATATAATTCCAATTTCCAAAAATAAATAACAATGACATATTACATAAGAACTCATAAGTCATCAGCACTGTCATCACTAAGGGGTTATTCATTTGAATCATCATTATGATGAACTACTCTCTCCTCTTCCTCCTCTCCTATAGAGTCCAATGTCGGGCATTTACTTCAAGATTTATGTAAGTTTTAATATATATAGCGTGAGGCGTAAGCCTCATGCCAGTGAGGCGGGGCGAGCCCAACCAAGTTGAGGCGCAAGCCTCATAAAAAAAACTCAAGGCGTAAGCATCGATGCGTTTTTTACTGGAATTGCGCAAAGGCGGGCCTCAAGGCGAGCCTCATATTGCGCAATTTTAAACCATGGATAAAAGCTTAACGTCTTAACCAATGTTTTAAAAACCGGACCGGACCGGCCGGTTCAACCGTGAACCGGTCATAGGACCGGTCCGGCTCAGCCTTAAAACCGCCCCTGCAATGAACCGGACTGAACCGGCTAGAACCGCCGGTTCAACCGGCAAACCGGTGAACCGGGCGCGGTTATTTTGAACCGGCCGGTTCAAATTCAAAAAATTTTAAATATTTTTTAAATAAATAAATAATCATATATTTAAAAATTTAAAAACTTTAATTAATAATAATATATCTTTTTTAAAACATTTATCTCCAAACCATCATGAAGCATTTCACATGGAGTGGTGGTACCATGTGAGCTCTTAACACCAAAAAACTCAAAATGCTATATAAACACTAGCAAAGAACTCTTTCTAAGTGATGTGGGACTAAAGAAAAGAGTAGAGATGTGAATGAGCTCATAACATATGCAATGCATACAAAATTATTTTTAAAAAGACTTTTTAATTAATTATTTTTTATGTAAATGATACTTATTTATTAGTTAATAATAAACATTTATTTATTTATATTCTATAAAAATAATTTATCATTAATAATTTTATGTATTTAATTATTTATTAATTATTTAACATATAATTTAAAATATGTATTTATATTAAATTATATGATTATATGTAAATTTAATTTAAATTAAAAATTAAATTTATAATTCGAAAAATATTTAAAATTAAAATTATCATATTTTTATAAGTGTAAATTCTTATAATTATGAGATTTATAATTTTTTTCTTTTATGTGAGATTTTAAAATAATTCTTTTACTTAATTATATAAATTTTATGTTTCATATATTCTTTTTAAATTTAAATTTTTGTCTCAAACTTTGAATGATAACATTATTATTATGTTAATTTAATTAAATTTTAATAATATTTATTATTTATTACATCATCCGGTTCGACCCCGGTTAGACCGGTTGAACCGGTCGAACCGTGAACCTCTCCTTCTTCCGGTTTGTTGTCCGGTCTCTAACCGGGGTCGAACCGTGAACCTCTCCTTCTTCCGGTTTGTTGTCCGGTCCGGTTTTCACAACCTTGGTCTTAACTTTAAATAAAGATCCAACACATATATAGATAAAGAGAGAGGGATGCGAGAGTCATAAGAGACACCATAATTTTATATGGGCTTAGGGTAATGGTGGTTGAAGGGATCGTAGTTGACGGGCAAGCGTGGTCGGAGGGACGTAGTGGGCGGGTGATGTGAGGTTGGGGAGATTGTAGTTGGCAGGTAACGATGGTCGGAGGGATCGCAGTCGGAGAGCGACGGTGATCGAAGGGATCGTATTCAGCAGTGGTCAACGAAAGTTCACAAACAATGGTGCTTGAGTAGAACTCTAGGATCCTTGAAGTCTTAGAGCTCTCTCCAAAGCCAAAGGCCCAAGCATGCAAAGGTCTCGTTGAGCTTCTTGATTCAACTATAAGCATGCGATATTTAGAGATCACTTGGTCATCCAATTAATGCTTTGAACCTTCCAAATATGCTTCGGCCCCCTTATTTGGGACCATTTAGGCTCAGATTGGACCGATTTTGATATCGTTGGGTTCATCCCCTTAAGATGTCCAATCTGACTATAAGTTTGCTGAAATTAGAGTTCAGATGATCTCGAATTTAATTTTGAAATTTCCCAACTTAGATATGCCTCGAGATTCTTGCTCGATTAAGGCAATTTTCGGTGATGTATCAAGCCTTATCCAAAAATTCAAGCCCATATTATAAATCCACATTTTCCATATGGTACTATAGCGTGCTGTATGAGATAATATATCCTATCATATAAACTCTATCCATATTACCCTGAGTATATTGAATGCAGGATGCCTTAGAGTATAAAGTTTATAATGTACACCTACTATGAAATGCAAAAAAACAAGTATCACACACACAAATTTATAAGTCATTAACTCTTAATCTTTTAACAATTATTTTCTTTATTAATGAAATCAAAAAATATAAAAACATAATTCAGATGAAAATCCAATGGCTTCTACGAGAAACAACATGTAGAAATTTATTACAAAGAAACAACTAGAAAACCAAACTTGCATAGAAAACCATATTGCATTGGATTACAATAAAATCAATTACAACATCAAACGAATAAAAAACATTAGAACAAAGATTTTTAAAAAAAGGATGAAAGAATTAACTAAAAATAGAGGAAAGAAAAGTTTCGCGAGCAAGAAAATAACTTGCCATATAAATCTTAGAGTCTCTCACTTGTTCAAAGAATTGACTAACATAAGTAGAAAAACAGACATCCACAGAATTTTATTCAGAACCAAGTAGATTGTATTTTGCAACTGTCTAAGGTCCCCTACTTACAAGGCAAATAAAATAAAATTACAAAAAAAAACTAACCAAGAATTCACCATCTCCAAATTATAGTGGGAAAAATAAAATCTCAAAAGGGCCGACTGCCAAAGTTCCAAGTTTTCAACAATACAAGCAGAAGTCCTACCAAAACCTGATAACAGCAGTAATAGCAAAGGAGCCGGAAATTAATACAGCAAAAATCATGTAACACATAACAGGAAAAGAAGATAACTCTAGTCCAAGCCAAAAATATGGTCGGGGAGATCCTTAGAATCTTGAAAGGCACAACAACTTTAAAAAATAACACCAATATGGCACTTTATCTTCTAAAAATATTAATTGAAAATTGTTATTATCACGTCCCCTGGAAGCGGGAATGACCTTTCTTTATTAGGTTTAAATGAGAATTTGACTTTTAATAGAACACAATGGAGAAAAAGGATTCATGTAGCCGACCCCACGTAGTGGGATAAAGGCTTGATGTTGTTGTTGTTGTTATTATCACGCTCACAATAATTGAATTATATATACTCAAGTCTTTTTTTCTATTAGTTCTAAATCATATGTATTTTTAGTATTTTTTGTATTGCTCTTAGCTTGTCACTTATTTGAACAAGACTCTGACAATTATAATATTCATCTAAAAAAACATAAAATACCTACCTTTGAATATGCTTTCTAAGTATCTCTACATGTATCTCCCTTACGCATTACAACCACTAATACTAGTTAGTGTTCAATTATATATATATAATATCTTCAACACAAATTTGTGATTTTACCCGAACAGTTCTTCCTTAATATGAATCACATAAATTCTCATGATACTCATTCATGTCTTCTATGCTCTATAGGCTATCCATTCATTATCTTCGCACAAAAGAAAAACACTTTCATCGGAGATCTTTCTGGTTGGAAATCAAATTGATTCGCTATAATATAATTTTTCTAGAGTTATGTTTCGTTATTATATCCCATGGCTTTATAATATAGCTAATGAGTTTGATTCCTCCATTGTTAAGCGTAAACTTGGACAACTCACTTGTTCTTAAATACTCCAATCATGAAAAGTAATGAAAGTCGGTCACTTAAATTTGCATAAAAATCGCTTCATACAAAAATAACTATACATTTGATCTGCTCAAATAATCAACGCTTAAAACTTTCAATGTAGAGAAATAGAAGCAATAATGACAATAAAATATGTTAAGAAAAAGGAGTTAATTAGGTTACCCAAAAAAGTCAAAGGCCAACAGAGATTTAAGCAAACATAACTATCTCACCATGTTATCAACTTATCATGAAACATTGAAATATAAATGATAATAGAAATCAGTTTCATCAAAGAAGGAACTCTAGAGGTTTTATACATTTGATCTGCTCAAATAATCAACGGATAAGGACAACAAATACGTCTAACAATGTCCATAGACAATAAATTCTACAAAGACTTTGCAAACATAAATCAAAATGCTTCATATAACTATCAATAACATGGAAAAAGAAGAAAAACAACCTGGGTAGCCACAGATACCAACAATATCACCGCGTTTCACAACACCGTGTAGTCTAGAAAATTCAACTTCATTCAAGTCTGAATCCCTAGGTAAAATTGAAATTTAAAGAGTTATCATCAATACAAAAGAGAATAATTGTTTAACAAAAATTTGTCTCAAGGTCAAAGCAATAAATAGTATATCTAAAATAATGGCTAAAGCCTTGTAGTAGAGGTAACCATCAAAAGCAGTTATTAAAGGTAATTTTAATAGAACTAAGGAAGTTTAAATCGTTAACACAGTTAAAGAGAGCAGAAGCACTGACAGCAAGCTTAAGTGTATTATGCATTTCGGTATAAACTGACAACCTGATTACAAGTTTGAACATATACTTGGTAGAAAGATGCGGGAAACCAACAAAAAGTAGAGCACACAGATAAATCCATCAATGGATATCATTAGCTTCTTTCAAGAAGCAATTATTCTCAAACACCTTGTCTCCATTTCTTGATTCCAACATCAACATCACATCAACATCTACATCAACATCAACATCAAGCCTTTATCACACTATGTGGGATTGGCTATATGAATTCTTTTTTCCTTCATTGTGATCTGTTAAGAGTCATTTCAAATATTTTATAGCAATGTATGCTTAGGTCTACCTCTACCTTTTCTTAACATCGGAAGGCCAACAATGTTTTACCTGTCCAAACCATCTAAGGCGACTCTTTCTAATATTATATGCCACTAAAGCTACTCCAAACTTTTCATATATATACTCGTTTCACATTCTGTTTTTAAGAGTGAAGCAAGTCATCCACTTGAGCATCCTCATCTCTACAACACTTCATTTAATGCTTCACTTTCAATAGCCAACTTTCTGTGCCATAAAGAATTGCAGATCTCATCACCATCTTTTAGAATTTTCCCTCAAGTTTGAGGGGCACTTTTCTATCACACAATAGGCCCAATGCATTTCTCCACTTCAACCATCTAACTTGAATTCTACTAATAATATCTCCATCTATTTCACCATCACTTTAAGCAATAGACTCGAGATATCTAAAATGTGCACTCTTATTAATGACTTAATCACCCAAAATCACAATGCCCCACTAGAATTATTATGGCTAAAATTATACTCCATATATTCGGTTTTAGATTTACTCAAACGAAAACCTTTAGACTCTAAGGTTGACCTCCATTATTCAAGTTTTCCTTCAACTCCCTTTCTAGTCTTATCAATAAGAAGAATATCATCTACAAAAAGCATATACCGGTTTACATCCTCTTGTAAATGTCTAAAAGAAAAAATGATAGGGATTTAAAAATAATCCTTGAAGTAATCCAACTGAAATAGGAAAATATTTGATCAAAACACCTTGTGTTTGAACACAAGTAACAAATCATACATGCATATCCTTAATGACTTGAATATAAGCATTATAAACTCATTTCTTTTCTATAACTCTCCAGAGCACTTCTCTTGGAATTTTATCATATGTTTTATCTAAATCAATAAATATCATGTGAGCACATCTTTATTCTCTCTAAACTTCTCCATCAAACCTCTCAATAAATGTATAGCATCCACAGTATACCTACCCGGCATGAATCCAAATTGATTTTTAGAAACATTAGTATCACATCATAACTTATCCTATCCGGCATGAATCCAAATTGATTTTTAGAAACATTAGTATCACGTCATAACTTACACTCAATAACTCTCTCCCATAATTACCAAACAAATAAATAGTCTAAGTTGCACCAAAATTTAAACTAAACCAATAATGGGAACAAGTTTTCATTTGTTTCGATAACACCAACGTTTGGGCATTCCAAAGAACAAGAAAACCAAGTAGATAGCCTCATATACTAGGTGTTCAACCAGTACGCTGTCCTGCATAAATGCTATTACATAAACAATTTCAAAAATTCTGAACAAATGCCAATTACCAGAAACTATAGCTTTTACATCTAACTACAGTAGATTTGTTTCTTACATCACAATCACAAACAAAAAAACGAAAACAAGCACTATGGGAAAATATTTGTAAACTTGCATACTCTATCAACAAGAAGATGGACGTTTCTTGGGTTTGAACCAAGTAGTCAAATCAGAATAAATTGGTATAAAATAAAATAACATTTTATAAGCATTTTCAATGCAGTAGAAGAAAAGCAAAAGAGAAATGCTCAAGAATTTAGTAGAAAAGGGAGTCTGGAATACAAAAGAATCTGAAGAAGATTTCTCAGTTAATTAAGACTTAAGACCAAGGCTCAACCAAATTTTGAGAATTCTAGTAAGGCTGCCAAAGTTCAAAATTCCGTAGATTATATCCAAAGATTTTACATGTTATGAGATATAAGAAGCCAGTCCTAGAAAGAAAGCAGTGCATATCTCTAAATGCTGACAAAGTGTTCTAGACAGATTCCTATAGTATTTTTCGTTCTTCAGAATTTCCAACTGGTGCAGTCAATTTTCTACTGTCTAATTGATGATGATCTAAATGGATGTAATTTAGTTTATATATTGCATTACTTAGAAATTAGTTGTTTTTTGCCAGTCAATTTATTATCTCATAAAGGTTGTTATGTATCAAGCCCAAAGGCGTTGTCTACACTTTTAGTTTTCATCTATTTTTTTACATACCCCCTTATGCTTTGGGAAAACCAAGAATCGAAGAGCTTTTTAAGATAAATAATCATAGAACTCGTATTTTGGCCTTGTAGTTTTCCTTTAGGCTTCCTGGAATCGGAACTATTTGTTTTGAATATTCAACAGTTTGGATGCTTTGAGGGTATAAAATCAATAGCTTGAGAATTCAACGTCTATCTTTATTTTCCATCCCCTTCACTGACATAAATCCCTATTCTTTCAACATTTACGGCACTTATCCTGCTCCAATATATTCAAAGGAAAAGTTAATGTGTTGTTTTATTTGGCGTTTGTTGTTTCTGTTTTCTCACTTATTTCCTACTTTTCCACTGCTTCCACTACAGTTTTGCCGCTACTTCAGTTGTTTTGACCACCATTTTCGTAATTTCCGTTTACTGTTCTATTGTTTGACCAATTTTTACTACTTATACACTTACATACATCCAGAATTCAACAGTTTACTGCCATTTTCTTATCCATTTTCCTGTATCACACTGTTTCTTCATTATCCCAGCCAACTTCCTCTAAGAACCCACCGCAAACAACTCTTCCAACCACCAAAAAAGCCAAGCAGTTCTTTCATTGTCCATGGAAAACAGTACCAATCATGTTCACATGAGCGGTGAATATCACCCACACCATTATAATTTTCAAAAAACACCATGCCATTCCCTTCTTCCTCAACTTTCTCAACCATATCTTAAATATTTTAAACAAAAATCATTCAAATCTAAACAACAACAACATCAAGCATTTATCCCACTAAACTTAAATAAAAATTTCAGACTTCATTCGAATTATCAATGCCGTTCCCAATTTTTTTTCACAAAGCCCAAAATTCCACTAACCCACTTGAAAGCCCGTCCTTTATCCATGAGATCAGTCATGCATTTTGGAAATCAAATTGAACTCAACTTTTGACGTTTTAATTCAAATTCACAACCTCGTAACCACCTCCAAAAATTTCCCTGCTTGTTTAGTCATCATAACTCGTTATCTTATCCTACACCAAATTAACTGCAAATGATATATCAGTGAAAAGAGCGATCATCAAGTTATCCTTGCTATCAGGAACAGAAGAAATACATGACTGGCCATGATAATGAAGGGCACTTTCAAGCCCTCAAACTAATTTGCAGGCCACATGACAATGTTTTTGCTTGTGAAAATAATAAGAAAAAAAAAATTCTCTTTTAGTCAAAGTTTACCATACATCCTTTTAGTTGACAACCTCTAAAGGTTCCGCCACATATTACAAGAATTTTACTAACCTTCTTCCTCAAAACCGTAAAACGCTGAAATTTTAAAGTGATTCACAATAAAATCATGAGGTGATTCTATTTTTGTCCCTAGTGCTTCTACCAATAGCATTGAGAAATACTACGAGTACTGTTAAAAAATGGGGATATCATCTACCATCAAAAGATTTCAAGATTCCTATGACGAAATATATTGCGACCGTGGATAATTCTTCTCATATCATGCGAGTTCACGCAATGTGCATATAACAACTGATTGAGGATGATCCTCATATATGGAAGTTTCTATAAGTATTTGCAGTAATTAAGAATTGGCTATTTCTATAAGTGTTAATCAATGAGGGGTAGTCTGGACTTCGAATTATAGGGCAATTTCTATAAAGAATTCTTATGCTCTAAAATTAGTAGTTATGAAGAATTATAAAAAAGTTTAAACCAAACTATTGAAGCGCCATGGATAAGGAATCATAAAAAGCAGCCATACCTAGCATCAGCCATGATTTGCACTTTGGCAACAACGCCATATAAGTCATAGAAGTAAAGCTTGGATGAAGAAGTCCTCTTATTCATAATTCTCCCTTGAAAGCATATTTTTTTTCAGTTCATTAACATATCATTTCAGTGAAAAGTTGAAAGACCAGAAAATGATAAAAAACTCTACAAAACAACTAAGACCTGCCAAGTTAACTTCTACATCTTTGAGATGCTCCCCTTGATTGAGACTTGTATACTTCTGAATGTATTCTTCAACAGATATTGAAGCTTGAAACTTATGGGGGTATGGGTTTACCCCGGCAATCTTCTGAGATGCAAGGTATTTGTGCCTGTTCTCATAATATTGCTGTAACAGAAAGACCGATATTTCACACGCACTTTTAGATCCTTTAGAGCGTATGTCTTATATTATACATAAAAGTACCGATACAGAGAGAGAGAGAGAGAGAGAGAGAGAGAGAGAGAGAGAGAGAGAGAGAGAGAACCGTCGGGTCCATATCATCATCTTCGACCGCACAATCCTTGTGCGACAGAGAATTTTGTGTGGCAGCAACCTGAGAATGAATCAAGCGCTAAAAGGCATGCTAAACCTCTAAAGGATTAAAAAAAACTGAAATGGTCAATAAAAAAGTCTTACTTTCTTCTTCTTTTCTTCTTCCTTAAGGCGCTTCTCATCTTCCTTTTGTTTCTTCTTCAACTCCCTTTTCAGAGCGCTGTTAAAGTGTTAAACGATAAAATAGCAAATAACGTTAGGAGCTGTTTGGTAGAATCTAGGATTTCATTCAAGTAGGATTTCGTATCCTGAGGGAGTTAAATCATAAAACTGTCTGGTAATGTTCATGAGACTGTTTGGCTATTCCATTCAGGATTTAGGGAGCTTGAAAGATTTTGGCGGAGTTTCTTCCTTCCCGCGCCAGAGGATTTCGGAAATCCGCCGAACGAGAGGATTTCCGAAATCCGCCTCAAAGCCGGACTAAATCCGTATACCAAACAGCCCCTTAAGAGAGTACTAAGCAGAATTAACCAAAAGAAAAGATGCAGACTAAAAAGAATGATACTTCTTGCTCGGCTGATCTGCCGCCATGGGATCAACGGAGAGCTCGGAGACCTTATGGACTACCTCGTCAACTGTGTCGGCCATTGACAGATGAATGGGTAAACAGGTCGACAATGGTTTCTCGTCAGGATCAGGTTGTCCGCGCCGCACTATAACCGCTCCTCATTCTCCGGTTAGGGCTTTGGGAAGGAAAATGCACAGTGGGAAATCCTGTTGGGCAGATCCAACAGCGGAATAAGTCAAGGGCTGTTTGGCACAAAAAGTATTTAACTTGAATAAGATTTAGTAAATTCTGAAAACAATAATTTAATAAATTATGTTAAATTAAATTTTAAAAATAATTTGACAACATAAATATTAAATCTAAATTAAGGCGTGGCAAAGAACTTGGCACTCTAAGAAGTTATGACGCTTTGCTCTCATTCGTTGAATTTAGGATTTAGGCTTTGTTTTTTTGACGGTGTTTTTGCCTTTTTTGTTTTTTGAAACTGAGGGATTTTTTTTTTTTGTTTGGTTCGTCAAATCACGTTCTCAATAACTAAATTTTTTTATTTTTCTGCAGTTTTGAGGAAGTTTTTATATATACTTCTCTGTTAGAAAACTTCATTTTCTGAACTAATATTTTTTAAAACTGTCTTTTACAAAATCACAAAAAAAAAAAAAACGAAACCTTAGTAAATCCAATATTTACTTCAAAAAGAAGGCTAATACATATTTGTTTCGCTATAAGCCCATAAGTTCAAACCGGGTGTAAATCATGTTTGGCCCGCTCAAATTGGGCATAAATCACATTGCCAAATAGCCTCTAACATGATTTAACTATTTAAGATTTAGTAAATCTTGTAAATCCTGAATTTAGAAAATCCTAGAAACTAATTTTCCAATTAAGTGATAAATCATGTTAACTCCTACGAAACTGCTTAGCAATGTCATTCAGGATTTAAGATAGTAAGTTCATTTAAAAATTAAATTTATTATATATTTTTTAAAAATTTAATTTATGTGTTAAGTAAGATTTATTTATTAATTTTAATTTTTATTACCATCAATAAGTTATAATGATAAATAATATAATTAGAAATTAGTTTAATAATCAAATAATTTAACTAATAAGTTAATTAATAATTATAGTAATATATATCAAATTACTTATTTAGTTCTTAATTTAATAACAATTTAATTATGAAATTACTTATCAATTTCAATTTTAATTATATTTTACATTATTTATTAGTTAATTATTATTATTTATTTAATTATTATTAATAAATAATCATTATAAATTATATAACTAAAAATTAAATTTATTATCAATTAATCTAAATAATTAATTAATTATTAAGTACATTATATTTTTATTATTTTTAATTAAAATAGTTTAGTCAAATTTTGTCGACCCCATATAATGGGATAAAAGCTTGTTGTTGTTACTTTTCTCCCAATGAAATGGCTGCCGATTTCAAGAATTTATGTGCTTTGTCCTGTTGTTATTACTTTTCTCCCATTGTCGTAATGTTTCAACTTTGCCTACTTCGCTCATGGGTAAAGTTTTGAACAAGTCATAAAAGACTTCTTCGCCTCCTTCGACGACATTCCTTTATGTCTGGTCGGAAGTCATGACAGCTCGTCATTCTTTTGTTGGATTGGAAGTAACGACGACAATGGGAGAGAGGGAGCAAGTTGCGAAGTTAACCATTCTCTCCTATTATTGCACATCTTCGGCCAAATCCCGTAAATCCGCCTAACTCTCGAATTTAGGGGTTGTTTGGTTAACTCGGTTCATAATAAAACATCTAAATTTCCTTTTAACTATATGCTAACTTGAAGATCATATTCCTTCAATTAAAAAAAAAAAACCATTGAAGGCTAACTAAGAGCAACATAAAAAAAATTATCCACTAACTCCTAGCCATGGAAGGTGACTTTCTCTAAGTAACAAGATTCACATTAGATACCGTAAGAGTCACTTTATGTTGGTGAGTCTAGCTTGCTGTGAAAGCTTAAAAGTTTGACAAAATATGAGACTCATTTAAGGTGAAAACAGATTTAAGAAAAATAAAAACTCGTTATAGCCATGGAAGGAGACTCCCACATATGAATAATGCCCTTAAAGGTGAGGCTCACCTTAGGCAACATAATGTCTAGTTTAAAACTTACATAAACTTATTCATCATTAGGGAACAAGTACTATTTTCTTCGATCTGTATGGGCCACTCATGCTAAAGGCTGATAGTTGAATAATCTCAAAGCAAGAATTGTTATATCGATTACAAAGCTTGTATGCATTCACAAGAGAGTTGAAAAAATAGATTTTAATTCATTCATTATAGTTCATCAAATGAAGACTTCTTGAGTAAATACGTAATTGTTATTAAGCGAGTGCTACTATTTTAGTGATTTTAATCACACAACTTTCTATTCCTTCCTCATAACTAGTGATATTGTATTAATTCATTCATGAGCGTTAAATGGCCAACAAGTCTATCGGTGAGACTATCATCATCAAGCAAATATTATTATATCATACACACAACTAGGTTAAACTTTATAAATTTCTTGGTTTACATTGAACATGTGCTATAATTATTCCCACCTTGTTCATTCACATAATAAAGCCAAGTTAAAAAAAAAAAAAAAGTTATTATTAATAAATCGATGCGATGACATCAACATTAAAAAAGAATGAGTACATTTTCATGAATAAAAATATGAGATAACGAAATATCTTTCTTTCATTTAGTATTTTCAATCTAGCATAGTATACATTGTAGGACAAAAAAAAAGAGAAAGTATGAGAAGGACACTCTCAGTTTTTGGTCATGATTGCCTCGTTTATTTTCTCGGATGAGTCCAACATCTACTCATTGAAAGATGTTGGTTTTCAAAGTTGCTATCAAGCTCCTTTAGGAAACCAACTTATGTAGGCAATACTTGATCTCCTATTCGTACTTTTTACTAAGGATCTCTTGGTACTAGGTTCGTCACAAACCTATAAAAGTATGTTAGGCTAATAGAAGGGAGGTCATAAGGAGATCTTGAAGTGATCACATGGGACACACAACGCATTGTCATGGGAGGTGTTGAGATGCTCATTCTCTATGGGCTTCGATCCTCATGTTGGCATCTTTGTAATAATAGCCATAGAAGATCATTTTAGTAAGTGATTTAGTTGCCCATAAGGTTTGATAATACTCAAATTCGACAAACTTCTTAAGGCCACTATCTCAAATACAAATACTCACATCGGCTAAGAATAAAAGAGTTAGGAGAAGGAGATCATTGAAAGGAGAGAAAAAATAAAGAAAGTGCTAGTGCTCACGCTTATCTTTCTGGGGTGATGGGGTATTTATAGATAAATTGAAGGCCAGTATTCCAAGGCTATAGCCACACATGAGATTAATGTGCTAGTGCTCACGCTTATCTTTCATCATTACGAAAAGATCTGCTCTCTTTCCTCTCACTCAAACTATGCAAAGAAGTCATCACATAGAAATTACATGGTCAAACATAATTACCAAAGTAAGTAGTTCTTGAATCACACTATAGGGAGCCGCATTCAACACTCTTAATAGTCATTCTCTAATTAATTGTCAAAGAATCACTAGAACTGAAAATATAGAGTTATCACTAATATAAACAAAAAAAGTTGCTCTCATGTGATGAAGTTGGAGGATAAAATATTCCTTACACATGATGATTAACATGGACACCACAAAAGAAACAAACAAGAAAAGGAAGAAAGAAAAAAAAACAACAACTTGCAACTATAAGTAAGAATAGACACAAATACTTAAATTTTTTTAATTCAACATTCCTTGCATACATAATGCCGGTATAAATTATAATATGGGTGAAGCGTAATTAACCCCCCAAAAAGATAACCCACATAATGCATTTAATAAAAGTTTTGGGAGGTACCACTCCCCTCTCCACTAGATGTCGTAAGATATAATGCCCATCAGCTAAGAATTGACTTGACAATGATTACTCTAAGAGCCGATAAATTATCATCACCTTCATCATTTGTTATGGAACTCCCTTTCACTAAATGGTGCATCTTTACTTACAAAACTCGCTCTCTCCAAGAATCCAACCCTTCTATCAAACTCAACATGGGCATGTGAAAGCTCCTCTTATAAGTCAAGAATTTGTTGAGTAAGAGCTACTAAGAAGATTATGCCAAAGCAAGGATCTTAACATCTAGGTAGCCAGTAAGAGGGGAGAAAATGCAAGACACTATAGTAGTAAAATGGAGGGTGGTGAGGAGTTCTTATACTGATGATGATTGCACTTATTCATCGACATTATCTCCCTCTAAAACCTTAATGGTTTTATTCATTGAATGGGCTCCTATAGAGGTTAACATGTTTTGGTCTAGCTTGTTGGTCACTAACAAAGTTGCCCATATAGTATACAAGGAAGAATTAGGATGTGGTAACTCTATATCCAACAAATTAAGAGGAATTTGAAGCAACATATCATGGAATTACACAATCCTTATGTATAACATCTAAGTATACTAAGTCAATGTCAACACCTCAAGCTCATTTAGTGGTTAACCTAGGAACTCACCATAGGTCATGTAGACTTTGGCTCACTTGAGGCAGATGACACTCGATCCATATATGAATCTTTCAAAAACTAAAAAGGACTCTTTTTGTGAGAACCTTTGGATTTCAAATTTTTTGTGCAGTTAGTCTGTACGAACTGTCTGTACGAACTAAACAAGTGCATGTTAGTCAGTAAGAACTGTTAAGATAGTTGCTATTTGCATGCTTTACATTTTTGCAACTTATGTAGTTTTGATGATTCCAAACATTATTGTTCAAATGTGTAGTTATCTCCTAACAATTTTAGAAGAATTGTATTTGTTCTTGTGTGTACTAACATTTCATGAAAAACAAACTCCAGACTACGAAGACTTCAAATTAAATTCAGCATGAGATACTTCGTAAAATTTGAAGCTTGCACTTTTCTTAAAAATCAAATTGAAATGGAGTGATTGTAATTTGAGTGAATAAAAATATACACACACACATAAGGAGATCATATAAAATTTATACTGATCGTACAGGACGATATCAGTTCGTACTGGACGATCAGACAGTTATCTCCTATTGAGCACATGGAACGAATAGGAACTTGCTTAAGAAAATTTTTCTAAGTTCTATTCGTCCAAGACAAAATTAAATATCGTCCAGGACGATCTGGTCTCTGGCAAATTTTCGTCTAGACAAAAATAAATTATCGTTCGTGGCGATTGGTGCTCTGAAAAATTTTCGTCCAGACGAAATTAAATATCGTCCAGGACGATCTGGTCTCTGGAAAATTTTCGTCCAGACGAAAATAAATTATCGTTCGTGGCGATTGGTCCTCTGGAAAATTTTCGTCCAGACGAAGTTAAGAATCGTCTAGGACGATCGGTTCTCTGTAAAAATTTCGTCCAGACGAACAAATTTTTGTCCAAACGATTAACCGACTTAGAACAGTTTTCAGCAGTTTCTAGAACTGACCTTGTAATAACCGTTCGTACCGGACGAACCTAGTTCGTACGGGACGATCAGCTGTACGAAGACATTTCGTACACATATTCAAATAGGGTCATTTCAAATCGTTTAAGTAAAATCGTCCAGGATGATCCACGATCGTATAGGACGATCCACTGCGTACAGAATTGAAAACTTGCAGTTTTTGGACGATTTTTCTTGTCTTTTGTATAAATAGTTCAAATTAGACTGCCACCCAATCTTTTTGTCATTTGATCTTCGTGCCTCTTGAGAGAATAGCCAAGGAGAGAGTGTAAGAGTGCATTCAAGGGAGGATTCCTACCACTGGAGCGAGAAGGCTTCACTTGGATTTCAAAGGTAAGAGTCTCTACTTGTGAATTAGGATTACTTCACTCTTTTCCTTCTTCCTTCTAGATTCTTGTGAGAAGATCTGTCAAGGAGATCTGGTTCTCTGCTGACACTTGGAGAGTGTGAATAGCCGAAGGGTTCTCTGCCTACATTTGGAGAGTGTGAAAGGACGAAGGGTTCTCTGCCTACACTTGGAGAGTATGAAAGGCCGAAGGGTTCTCTGCCTACACTTGGAGAGTGTAAAAGGACGAAGGGTTCTCTGCCCACACTAGAAGAGTGTCTATATCCCCTCTTGGTAGCCTTGGGACATTCACTTAGGCTTAACAACCTAATTACTAGACTCAATAAGAATTGTCTGTACGAACAGAAAAAATTGCATGTTCATTTGTACGAACTGTGAGTTCGTATGTATTAACTGAACAAATTTTTTTGACAGAGCCCATCGTTCAGGGATGTTTTTTAATTATCGTCTGTATGATCTGTGTACAGAGCTGATCGTCCCGGAATGAATGTAAATATCATTCGTACGAACATAAATATCTTTTTCTCTATATATGGACTGTTTGACACGTTTTGAAAAGAGAGAAAAGAGGAGAGAGAAAGAAAAAAGCTTGGTTTTGGAGGCCATAGAGCAATTTTTGGCCGTTGACATAGTTGGAAGAATTGTTTGTCTCACAGTAAGGAATTCAAATCCTATGTCCGATTTCAAAGATTTCACATTTTGATATTTTTTTGCTCAGATTTGTGTTTCTATTACCGAAAAACATGCATATCTTTGTATTAACGAAAGTTTTACCGCGTAACTTTTGGTATGTTGTAGAGATGATGATTTTGCATGTTTTGAATATTTTCTGAAAACTTTTCACCAGGTATTCTGAATTCTACGGGATTTTTATAGAATAGAAAATTATCTGGATGTTGGAAAATAGTGCTTCAATACAATTAAAGTTTTGAAATGATGTTTTACACAATTTCTGATAATTTGGTAATTTTCTGAAACTATGTATTTTAATTATGTCTGGGATTTCTGTCTACTGTGTGATATCTTAACTGAATTAAGCTTAATTATGCACTATTTATTATAATGCATTAAAAGGTATGTAGATATGTGCTTGAGTAATAGCTGGTCGCTATTACTGTTATAATATATTGATAATATTATATGTGTGTGAAATAAACAAGTAAAGACTGGTAGACTCGTTGGTTGGAGATTGATTTACCTATATAGGATGGTGGGCCAACGGGATTTCCTTTAAATATTTTGGTTTGGTGTTATCCTATATTAATTCACGTGATACACTGATTGAGAGTTATAAAGAGATTATTATTGTGTCTACGGGCAAAGGGTGACGACTCAATTTACTGAGCTAACGGTTTACTAACACTGAAAAATATCATAATAGTCAGCGCTTCTACTTATTTAGTACGACTACTATATTGAAATGCATGTTTTGAAGCATTGTTCTTATTATTGTACGGATTTATCGTTACTGTACGGATTTACTGTTACTACATGATTTCACTGTTATTGCATTACTATTTCTATTACTGGATTATTAATGATACTTATACAGACACTGATACTATTTGATACTACTGATTCATTGTACTGATCTTTTGCATGTGATATACTGAGCACGTGATATAGATGAAATGGATTGCATATAATTGTATTATCGAATAATTGAATAGCAAGTGTATATTCTGATATGATTTTATTTCATTGATCTGATTTTGACATTTTATTAACGATGTATTGCTTTGATGCTTTATACGATTTTATACTGACTGATATTATTAACAGAGATTATTTTCTTATTGATTTGATTGATATTATCGATACGATGGTTTCTTTAATGATTTGATTGAGGTTTTTAGATACGACAAATTTTCTATTGAATTAACTGATGTTATATATACAATGTTTCCTTTAAAGATTTAATGTATGTACTAGTTCATTGAGCTTTATGGGGTTTTTCTACTATTCATTGATTCTATTACTGATAATTGTGGATTCAACTGTATATGTATTGACTACCATTTATGTATTGATTACTGTTTATGCATTGATTTCTGTTTCTGCATTGACTCAATGATCATGTGTAAGTAATTGCTATGATTTGACTGATTGACATGCATATTGCTTCCATATCGTGCTTTGATTTCAGTTGTAGGTATTTGGTGGCAAAAAAAAGCTCATTATATGTGGCTAATGATTTCAGGTCAGGGCAAGGGAGCAGAATTGTGAGGTTGATCAAGATTTTTCAGGTTTTGTTCTTTTGTCTTGGTTATTCTTTTGTACTCAGGACATAATGGATATATGTGATTAATGTGTAAATCCTGAGTATTATAAATGACTTTTGGGAATGAATAAATGTTTAAATGATGTTTAAAATTTATAGATTTTTGTTAGACTGTTTATCACTGATTGAAGACTATAGATAGCTCTGATAGAAGATTGATTTAAAGGATCGACTAAATAATTCTTTCAAATTAGATCTTGGTGCGTGACACTTTTTACCTCCACATGTTGCTCGCACCTATCCAAACTCCTCCAGCATAGGGTTATAATTATGATTGGGCTCCATGAGACACAAAGTTAGTGCTAAAATGAGGATATGAACCATATCCTTAGGAATGAAACTCACCACCATTAGAGCTTGGCGAGCTTCTTATAACACATAAACTTACCAGACATATGCTGTCAATGTGAGGCATGTCGTTTGATCTAAAGGAAAAAAAAAATCCCCTACCTGTTTCCAATCACCATTGACCTAGTTAGCTTTACTTCTATAGCCTTTCTCAACTCCTCCCAAACATTCTCAGTTACCTCAACCACTGTCGCGTTCTACTCTATGGCTTGACTAGACTTCTTCTCTACTTTTATTGATTTTTATTTAGGAAGAATGGTTTTCCTCATTTTGCTTAGGGCGACATAATTGGAAGGGCTTATTTTATCCATATCTTCAAGCAAGTTAGTAGAAAACATTTAAGATAAGGGACCATAAGTGCAACCACACCATCACTCATAGTTATTTTTAGCTAGTTATATGTCCATCTCTCAAGTCATTTAGCACGTTACTTGAGTTTTTTTAATGAGGTTTGTCTTGCTTTTCATGTGTTATTTTATTTGTTGTTCTCGATCACATGTTAGTTTTATCTAGATTTTAAATTATTCATATTTTTTTGTGATTATTTTATTTGTGACTTTATAAAACATGTTGAATTACATGAGGGCCTTATTTTATTGATTTGCTCAACATATGATTTTCAGAAAGATTCATGTAAGTTTTGTGCATAATTTTGTTGTGATTTTAGTACACAATATTCAATAACATCTTAGTCTTGATGATTATTCACGTTGATCATTTATAAATATATAAAAATTTTAAATATTGAATAGTTATTTCTTAAGACTATCATATATTAGCAACATTGTAAAGCAATTTTCTATAAAAAAATTATAAATAATAGTACACAAATAATATTAAAATAGTGGCCAAACAAAATTGTAGTTACTACGAAGAATAAAGCATTGAAAAAGCTGTTTTAGATGGATCCTTAGCTAGAATTTGAATTACAATTTGTTAAATATTTTTTTTTGATCTACATAAATCTGTTTCTTTTTTTAAAGATATATGGAATTTAATAAATTCTGAAGAAAGACAACTTAAGATATTTTACATCATTTATCATCACATCTTTTGTTCATCTATTCATTTAAATTATAATTAATCATTGGAATTTAATAAAACCTTATCTAATATGCCCAAAACATTTCAGAATTTAACAGCTCAAATTTAATAAATATGATTTATAACAAAATTGACGGAATCCTACTTGAATTAAATTCTTCGTGTAGGAGATGAGCCTCGACATCGAGTAATGGCGGACAGAGGAGAAGACGCATGGAATCGGGAGAAGTTTCCTCGTGTTTTAGAGATCGTGAGCTCTCGCCTCTCTCAGAGAGACCTCTGCTCCCTGCTTCTCCTCAGCACTTGCTGCTACCGCGCCCTCATTTCTCAACCATCTCTCTGGAAGGTTCTCTCTCTCTCTCTCTCTCTCTCCATATATATCCCTCTGTCTATTTCTCAGGAAGGACTAATATCAGTTATTGCTCCTTGCATACTTTTTTTACTCACGATTGTTGTTTGTATTCTAACCTCTCATGTTTATCAACCAAAGATCTAAATCAGGAAATATATATAAATGCAATTCGAATTACAGTGTTTATTCAATTGAAATCCTACTGTTTGTTCTGGGAATGTTTTTTCCATTATTCTTGGACTGAAACAACCAAACCTTGAGTAGTTTTGTTATACAAGTATGAATAACACATTTATGTAACCTATTATTGACAATTGAAGCCTTGGGCAGTTTTGTCTATGATTTTGCATTTTCTCCTTGCGTTTATACTATGCCGCTTTTTTTGTAGGTTTCAGGGAGATAAATAGCATGAAAGAAAATATATTAGATATCTATTATAAGAATGGTTTATTACTCCAAGCAAACGATTTTTAGGGTTGAATGAAGCCAAACAAAATGTTTGGTTATATAAAGTAAGCTACTCTAACTTGGTTCATTTACAAAGTATTGGTTTGGAATTGGATGCCAGTAGGTATGATCATATTAAATATTTACATGTACGTTTAAATGAATGAATATGTTCATTTAGAATGTTGGTTTATCCAATGGTGTAGACAACACCTTTGCAAATAACCAACAAAGCCCTAAAAGGACATGTCTATCATGTCTCTCTTATTCTCTCCACTTCTTCCTCTGCTTTCCTCCTCCCCTTCTCTCTCTATTAATCCACCCTTGTTCCTTCACATCACAACCCATTGGTGCCTATTCAAGCTTTTTTTTTTTTTTTGATGTTTACATCTAGTTTATCATTTCTTCAGCAATATTCAATGTTGTCCTTTTTCCTGCCTTGTTACCAAGGTTGCTGTCATGGGCGAAAATATTCTCCCTTTGATCTTTCATTTTGTAATTAGGTCCAACTTTATTGGGAGATTTCAGCTATCATTATGCATCGACAGAAGCAAGACTAGATTGCCTCACTTGGTTTGTACTGTTGTTTGGCTCCCTTGCTCTCCATGAAATTGTGAGTTTTATGCGGCACCTCTATAAAATCATTGCTTCCATTGTTTGTTGACAATGGACTCTGCTGTCAAGACCTGACCCGGCACCTCATCATCTTTCTCATTTAAGCACTCCAATATCTTTGTCTAAATCTAGCCATCCCTAGTTGATGCTCATTTTGATGTGAATCTTAAAATCTGTTTACCTCTGCTTGATTAGAATGATGATTCAATATAGTACTTGAGTTGAAGGCATAGAAAGGGTGGCTTGAACTGAGCTAATCAGTTAACTGGTCTACTTCTAAGTCTCTTCATAGAGTTTGCTTTACTTTTGAAAGTGAGAATCCATTGTATAATCTATAGGAATGATGTGTATATTTTTGAAATTTGCGGAAATAAATCAAATTGTTGACAGTCTTGGGAACCTGTTTGAACTTTGAATTACAAAATAGTGTTCAACCATAAGAATGGGGGGATTAAGTTAAGGATTGGAACTGATAATGATTATTGAAGCATGGTTGTAATATTGTATTTTTAGGGGATCTAAGTTAGCTTTCCAGGAGGTGGCAATATATAACTTTTAGTTCCAACTCATGATTAGTTTTTTAGACACGCCCACTGGTCATGCTTCAGCGATGTGCTGAAATTTCCTTGATTGAAAAGCAATTGAACTTCTCTGCCCAGCTTTGCCTGGGAACAGGGCTCTTGTGATTGTTGACATGAGCCTTAAAACATGCTTTTGCTGCAGATTGTCTTTATGCTACTTTGGTGATCATGTTCTCTCTATTGCTAATTTTTATATTTTAGGTACTTGATCTTCGTGAAATGAATAAAGCAGGAGAGCGATTAATATCTGCACTTTCACTGGTCAGTTTCTTTATTACCTGGGGCATGAGTTTCATGTATCATGAATACTGTATGAGCATGTATATAAAAAATTTTCATATATTTGCATTTGGTCCTAGCCTGTTTGAGCAGTTTCATTCAAAATTTTTTTTATTCTCAAGATATTGCTCTAATTTTTCACTCATGTTTTGTCATCCATGGTTACACAATGTTCACCTTGCAGGATAGATATCAACACGTTGAGAAGATAGACCTTGAATTTGCAAGAGATGTTTATGACGAGCATCTTCTTCTTATCAAAAGCAAGGTTATAATCTAAAATTTTAGATTAATTTTAGCACAATTTCTTCAATTTATCTTTTTCCGTTTGGAATTAGGATACATCTATTTGCTGTTTTTCTTGTGAATAATGCTTCTATGTCTGGCTGCCATTCTTTTCTGAGGTTGTTACGATAAAAACTAAACGTTAGACTAGATATGATAAATGAGGTGTTTAGGGCTGTTTAAGTAGAATATTCACAATACGTGTAAAAAAAGGAAAAAAACCTATGTTATTATATCTATTTTAACATCTACTTTTTGATCTAAACTTTGAATCAAAGTTTCTTTAATTTCCAATCAGTTTGGGATGCTAGTAATAAAAAAAAAATTATGATAGTTTAGAAATATATAACATGGTTGATCAAAAGCTGAAGAATGCTTAAAAAATTGCATAATATAATCCTCAATCGTCATAGTATCTCAAAACTCCTTTTTTTATAAATAATTATTCCAAAATAATATTTTACCATCATCATCATCATTAACCTTATCTCAAGTAGTTAGCATCTTTATAATTTCTTATTTTTCAACCATTTTTGTCTAATAATGTGGTATGCTTCTTGATCTACATCAGGAAGTGGGGGAAGACACCTTTTGAGTAGGTGTGAACTCCTTAAGGGAGAAGAAGAGGAAGAAGAGAGTCTAGAGAGGGAGAAACATAAGTCTTTCATTCCATAATATTTTCTTATAATAGGAGTTGTATTTATGATACTAGAAGAGGAAGAAGAGAGTCTAGAGAGGGAGAAGCATAAGTCTTTCATTCCATAATATTTTCTTATAATAGGAGTTGTATTTATGATACTCGGGTAAACCAAGTTTACAATATAGAACATGTCTACCTAAAACAAACTAAAAATAGAATAAAAGAAATGAACTAGTACTTATTACACCTATATAGATCATTTATTTTGTACTTTATTTAGCTAAATATATATTGCTGATGTCTAACAGTCACATCGTCATGGAAAGCAATATTATCCCCAAGGTTGAGAGAAGGAAAAGATGAAGAGAGGGCTGCAAAATTTTCCCAAATGGCATCATCCAGAAATTTAATTTCCATTGCAAGTAAATTTGAACGAAAAGTTGTAAAAAGGTAGAAGGGGAAAGAGAAATAAGGAGAAAATCATAGTGACAATCACGAATAGTTTTATTATATTTTTAGAATGTATCCTAATTTGCTAAGAGGTAGAACGAAAATGTAGTTTTGAAAAAAACTCTATGTAATTCATTTACAAATTCATGTACTATTAGAATAGGGAATTTATCTTGAATGATGAGTATATTAAGGGCTCTATAATTAATGCAAAAATGGCAAGTGCCATCATATTTTTGAATAAGCAATATCGGAATAGAAAAATAGGTGAGATTATGACAAATAATGTTGGAGTGAAGCATTTCAGATACTAATTGTTCCATAGCTCCCTTTTGAAAATGTGGAGAAATGAAAATGATAGATATTACTAGTTGAGATAAGGATGGAAGATAAATACGATTGTCAATGGTACTAGGTTGAGGTTAATCTATTGTTGGCTGAAGCAAATGTTGAGATTATTTGAGTAAGGTAGAATTGGATAATGACAGATGATATGTAAGAAATGAGAAACCTGTTGGAGAAGGTGGTGGTTGTGGAGAAAGGGTTCAAAAGTGTATATTTTGGTTAGTCATCAATTAAGAATGATTCTCAATTTTAATTCAAAAAGCAATTTCATTTGAAACAATTGGGAATAAATTTAACACGATAGATCTACTCATAAGCTAATTGTATCAAATCATTCTTCAAATTAAATTACAAAGTTTTGTAATAATTTCAAATTTAAAAGGGTATGCATTTAATGTTATAAGGAAAGAAAATAATGAATACATCTAGATGTTTAAAAAAATAATTGAATGGAATGAGTTTAAGAAAGATTAATTATATGGATAAGTTGACAATAATATAATCTATACGTGTAGGGCGACAAATGTGAGTCCATATGGTGGTAAAATTATTCTAAAAATTAAGATGTGTATGATAACTTGTACTGATTTGGTAATAAAGGTGGGCCCTTGTGGAGGAAAAAATGTCATTGATAAATAGCTTTCAACCTTATGCGAGCCAAGAAACTACTTCCACATATATGATATTCTCTAAAGTTAAAAGAAGAGTTTTATAGGTAAATGATAAAATAAATTCAGAAAAGATTAGTCAAATAGAAGGAAGCCTATACGCACTTTTAATGTGGTGTTGTCAATGTTTGAACCTTTAATATTCTTCTAAAAGTTTTGTTTCTAATTAGATATTTTAATTACGATTAGATCGGATATTATTCTAGTATTTTCATGTTTAAGGATTCTAGGTAAAACAATAGATTAGTGTATGTGTATACTTGAATTTTTTTGATATTTGAATTCTCTATTAGATCTGTTTCTCTTGCGAAGTTATTTTAGCTTATATAGTACTATGTTGAATGTAATTTCAAGAAAAACGACAGAAAAAGTAGAACCCAAATAAGGGTTATATTTTGATTGACTATTCTTTCTTTTAGGTGTACAATTTTGTTGTAAGATAAAAATTAGATATTTCTATCATGAAAATTTGATGAAATACAACATAATCATGACGTGCATTAGAATCTCTGTAGTTAAATAAATGGGAAAAAAATGGAACTATTTTTTTTCAAATGAATTGTGTAAATTTTTAAATTCTTCGGTTTACAAATTATGGTATGTAAAACGGTAGTGGTAGATATCTCTGTTGGCCTTGTGTTGACCTAAAGGAGTCTTCATGGGGTATGACAATAATCCCCGTATGTCAGCTTAGGAATAGGCCCACCTTCTTGCTCTAAAAGGTTCCCTTGAATGAGGTAACCTATGATTACTAACAACTTTCCTCAATTTGCTACATGGCTAAGTAGATTAAGGCCGCTAACAAACTTGAGAAAATGGAATCATAGAACATTGATCGGAGGTGTCATACCGACTTACTAGATTAGTCTTCACTTTTCTACATTCACTCATTCTTTTTCTCCTAGATAGTGCTGCCACATGGGATCATAGGCCCCATAGCTCCTTATAGTTGATGTTGGAGTTATAAGTCTCTTTCGAATCTATTTTGGTACTTTTGTGTCTACCTTTTTTGATTCCTTTGTTCTTCCTCCCCTTATCCTCTATTGAGCCCCATAAAGTCCATTCTAACTTTGACCGAACCAAACTTGTACCGATTCTTCTCAATTTGAACACAAGTGTTGACTTCTTAACTGAAAGTGTTCTCGAACACGCTCGAGATGTAATTAACCCAGGAGCTTACTCTTTCAAAAAATCTCAATCCCCCTCGAATTAAAATATATCTTGTTTGGAGCCACATTCATTGCAGGGTAAATCTCTAGGATATATACATTTAATTTGCATTCTATTGATCTTTCGGGCCTACATGGTGCATATATGAACTATAATCAAGCTGCAACTTCATAGGCGCCTTTTAAGGTCTATAGCTACCTTGCATATAGGGCAAGATCATAAGACCCAGTATTTTGGGCAATTCATAAATAAAGTAGTAAGCTCTATCCTAATTAAAATTGGGCTTTCCATTGGATTTAACCTATAGGTTAACTTATATTTGGGCCAGCTCCCATACTAACAAGTCTGTTACAACAACAACAACAACATCAAGCCTTTATCTCACTACGTGGGTTGGCTACATGAATCATTTTTCTCCATTGTATATTGTTAATGGCCAGATTCTCATTTAAATAAAAAAAAGAAAGGTCATTTCTAATATTTTATAAGTAAGTCTTGTTAGATCTACCTCTATCTTTCATAACATAAGCCAAATCTAATACATTTAATTTCCTAATCAAGTCATCGGAAGGCGGTCGTTTTATGTGACCAAACCATCTAAGGCGACTCTCTCTAATCTTATCTTTCACTGGAGCTACTCCAACCTTTTCATGTTTATGCTCATTTCGTATCCTGTCTCTAAGAGTCAAGCACCTCATCCATCCGAGCATCCTCATCTATGCAACACTTAACTTAATATTATGCTTCTTTTTTAACGGCCAACATTATGTACCATAAAGCATTATAGGTCTCATCTCCATCTTATATAATTTTCCCTTAAATTTGAGGGGGATTTTTCTAGCAAACAACAAGCTTGATGCATTCCTCCACTTCAACCATTTAATTTAACTTGAATTCTGCTAATAATATCCCCAACTATTTCACCATCACTTCGAACAATAAACCCAATATATCTAAAACATATACTCTTATTAATGACTTGATCACCCAAACTCACAAACCCTCCTCTAGATCTATTAATACTAAAATTACGCTCCATATATTCAGTTTTAGGTCCACTCAAACGAAAACCTTTAGACTCTAAGGTTGACCTCCATAATTCAAGTTTATCTTCAACTCCCTTTCTAGTCTTATCAATAAGAAGAATATCATCAACAAAAAGCACAATGATAACATCCATGGCTAAAGCAAAAAGATATGGGCTTAAGGATGATCCTTGATGTAATCCAACATAAATAGAAAAATGCTTGGTCAAACCGCCTTGGCTTGAACAGAAGTAACAACACCTGCATACATATCCCTAATGACTTGAATATAAGCATTATAAAGTCATTTCTTTTCTAGAACTTTCCATTGCACTTCTTTTGGAACTTTATCATATGCTTTCTCTAAATAAATATCTTTCGCAAAATATCCCATCTACCTTTGTTGAATATCTTCTTCGAATAACATTACTTTTCGATTTTCATCCGTAATGCATTTCACTTGCATTAAATTCTTACTAATCATATCTATTTGTTTGACTAACTTATGTATATCTTTCGCTCTCCTGAGTATCTAATTTATTATATAAATAATTAAAAACTAAAATTTTTGCATGGCATATGATTTTTTTAGACTCCTTATGTGCCTCTTTATATCTTTCCCATTAATCAGAGTTTTTACATTTTAACCAATTTTTATAATAAATCTTCTTATTTTTTATAACAA